CCACTGCTCATTTGTATAATCATGAAGATATTTGCATTTTTATCTAGTCCTCATGATTATCCTACAGGATAGGTATTATTATCCTCATTTTATTTATTTATCTATTTATTGGCCACGCCTTATGGCAGGCAGGATCTTAGTTCCCACCGGAAGCGCAGAGTCCTAACCACTGGGCCGCCAGGGAAGCCCTTATTCTCCTTTTATAATTGGGAAGAGCTGAGATTCAGAAAGACAAGAGAGGTTAAGAGTGACTTTCTCCATAGACTTCCATCCAGAAAATAGTGAGCCTGAGTGCCAGGTAAAAGGCTTGCACAGCCCCATTGAATTTATATTCATGCCTTGAGTTTACAAGGCCACCAAGCTGTAGAGTCATGACATCAAGACTCACATTCCTTGAGTATTTCCATCAGAGAGCCACCAGGTGATAAAGGACTAAGAAGCAGAATGCTCTTGTCTGGTTTTGGGACCCTTTGACATCCTCCCAAATTTTGCTTCCTTCTGTACAGGGAGGGTCTTTACCTCATCATGTGGCAGGCTGCCCACCATTTCTCCTGTACATTTGCTCATGTGGTTTTGCCGCAAGACATTTCTTTTCCTTCTTTCCCCCATCTATCTACAGCCTATTGTATAACCTTCAAGGCCCAGTTCCTAAAACATGTCTTCCAAATGCTCTGTCTCTTCCATTCAGACTCTTAGAGCACGTGATATAGCTTGCAGTTAGATAGTCAGAATGTGGTATAGTTTGCTGCTGTTTTGGCCATGGTAGTGCTGCCTCCAACTTGGCCTGTCTCTCCAGCTCAATTGTAAGCTGCTTGAGGGCAGGGATAGTGCCTTATCTGTATTTGTTTTCTCTGTAGGGCCCAGCACAGTGACTGGCATATGGCAGTACTTGAGCAGAGCAACAAGCATTTGTAGATGAAGGATTAAAACGTCCAGGAAGATTTTACTTAGACTGATGTGGATTGGAACAATTAGATTAATAAAAAGATGTATGTATGGGTGGACTTTCTGGGGGTGAGGATTTAATGCAGAAGACTTGCGGAGTGTCCTTCTATGACTCCGGCAGTCCTTCAGAAGAGGAGAGCCCCTGTTCCAGTCTCTAAAGAGGGTTAGATGCAGCAGGGCAGAAAGGCCCAGTTGTAAGCGGAGGCCCAGAGCAGAGGGATAACTTCTAAGACAGGACTGGCCTCACTTCTGGCCTCTCAGGGAGAGAACACCCAGTGTATGCTCTTGGCCAATGAGGAGGCCTTGTGGGCCAGGAGGCATGGGGTTAGTAGAGGTTGGGCAGGGACTGGGCTGATAAGGGAGCACAGACCCCAAGTCAAAATTACAGTGGTTAAGAGGAGCATGGGGCTTCCCTGGTGACTCAGTGGTTAAGAATCCGCCTGCCAATCTGCCTGCTCGAACCCAGGTTCAAGCCCTGGTCCGGGAAGATCCCACATGCCCGGAGCAACTAAGCCCGTGCACCACAACTACTGAGCCTGCGCTCTGGAGCCCGCATGCCACAACTACTGAAGCCCGTGCACCTAGAGCCCATGCTCCGCAACAGGAGAGGCCACCGCAGTGAAAAGCCTGCACACCGCAACAAAGAGTAGCCCCTGCTCTCTGCAACTAGAGAAAGCCGTGCGCAGCAACAAAGACCCAACAGAGCCAAAAATAATAAATAAATAAATTTATTTTAAAAAAAAAAGAGGCGCATGAGGGCAGAGAGGATCTTACCTGGCACAGGCAGCTCAGCATCGGGCCCCTTTGCTGGTCTCATGCCAGCGCAGATCAGCAGCCTGGGCTTACTTTGCCTTGATCAGAGGGAGGGAGAAGAGTGGCTAGGATCTCAGAGAAGACCCCACCTCTCCCAAGTCTAGCAGGAGTGGGGCTTCAGCTTCTGTCTGTTCTGAGCTCTTTCCTGTAGGCGTCTGGAGGGAACACACAGATGGGTCGGGCTGATGGAACTGGCTGAGTTGGGGGGAGGGAAGCTTGTGGTGTGTGTGGCTCCCCTCATGGGGGAGGTCCTGCTGTCATCATCTTTAGACTTCTGCCACATGAAAGGCACTGGGCCTTCTGGTTCCTCATTCTCCCCTCCTGCCACATTTGACCAGTGGTGGTACTCTTCCTTTAGAAAACCCTTCTCCCTGGGCAATAGCCACTACCAGCTCAACCCTAGTTCCTCCACCACTTCTTTGGCAGCTGCATCCCCACCTTCTCTATCTGCCTGTCCCCAGGATTCTCTCTTTGGTCCCTCTTCTTTCTCTGGAACACCAAAGCTTTGTTTTGTTTTAAATGATTTAGCTTAGGGACTTCCCTGGTGGCACAGCGGTTAAGAATCCGCCTGCCAATGCAGGGGACATGGGTTCGATCCCTGGTCCGGAAAGATCCCACATGCTGTGGAGCAACTGAACCCATGCGCCACAAATACTGAGGCTGTGAGCCACAACTACTGAGCCCTCGTGCCACAACTACTGAAGCCTGCATGCCTAGAGCCCGTGCTTTGCAACAAGAGAAGCCACCACAATGAGAAGCCTGCCCACCGCAACAAAGTAGCCCCCGCTCTCCGCAACTAGAGAAAACCCGCGAGCAGCAACAAAGACCCAATGCAGCCAAAAATAAATAAATTTATTTTAAAAAGTTATTTATTTAGCCATAGTTAAAAACCCAAAAGGTAGAAAAAAGGCATGCAGTGAAAAGTAAACCTCCTACACTTGTCGTCCACCCACCCAGTTCCCCTTCTCAGCAGCAGTCAGTACCATCCCGGCTTGTGATTTGTTGGGTCACAGACCCCTTTGGAAATCTGATGAAATTCATGAACCTATTAGACAAATGCATGACTGCACAAACGCATCAGATTGTACCATTTCACAAGAATCACAGACCCCTAAAACCCATGTGTGGTTTGAGGCTAAGGATCCCAGCCTGTATTGCACCCTCTTAGTCTCTCCCTTAGTGGGTCCCTGGTGCAAAATGAAAATGCAGGGTTCCTTCTTCAAGGAGCCTCGTTCAAGTGACAGCAGAGCATTAAACTAAGCATGGGGCCCTGTGCGACTGCCCTGCATCTCATCCTTTCCTCTGGCTTTTCTACTACCATTGGTATGGCAATTATTCTCCTATCTGTGTCTCTTGCCCTAACTTGTTCTGAATTTCAGACTCAGCTGTCCAGGGATGTATTTCTGAGCATCTCAAACTCAAGAGTCTCCAAAATGGAGCCATTTACCGGCTACCTCCCCTGCCCCCTAACTCCCAGTTCCTCACCATCCTCCCATCACCTGCAACTTCTCCCTGTCTTTATACCCAGCCACTCAGTTGCAAGTCCCGCAGATTCTGACTGTAAGTTCCATGCCGCCTCTCCTTTCCCACTGCCATCTCCCTCAGTGTGGTCCTTCATTACCTTCCATGTGTATTTCTGTGATTGTCCCCTAAACTCATCTCTTCAGGCCTTGCCTCTGCTGCTTCAGTCCATCTCCTTGCCTCCCCTTCCCAAAGGATCAGCCCCATCATGTCACTTACACACTCAAAACCCTTCAGTGACTCTCACTGCCTACAGAATTGGGCACAAACTCCTTTGCCTGGCATTTAAGGTCCTTTGCAATAGGGCTCCCAAACTTCCTTTCAGTGCTCATCTCAGCCCTCCTCTTCATGTCCCTGAGGTTTCAACGCAACTATAGGACCATCTGGTCCCTTAACGCGCCCAGTGTGTTTTCCTGCAGTTTACAATTTGCACTGCCGCTGTTCCTGGTCCCCAGAGTTTAGAGCTGGCTTACGCCACTATTGCCGTGTAATTTCTCTGGCCCTTTTACCACAGCCACTGCCCATGGCTCTGCCCATAGTGTCCCCTGCATTCTTTCTACTGTCCCTCTCCCTCTTCCCCTCATCCTCACTGAAGGGGAACCTCAGATGTAAGGCTGGATACAATCACCATTAAGTATCAAGAAGACGAGAGTGCAATCCCAGCTCTATTGCTTATTGACCTCAGGCAAGTTACTGTTTCTTCCACAGTAAAAGAGGTAGTGACACCATATAGTCATTAAAGAATTGAGATAAAGTCCTAAGGATAGTGTCATTATTCATATCATCATCTCATCACCTGTGCTGGGCTGGTCCCCCTCGGCTCCTCCACAGCTGCAAGGACTCAGGAGACATCTCATCCCTCTTTCCATCGAGTTCTGGGAAGTTGGGTGGGGTAGAGTGGAGGCCTGGCCCTCAGGTGCTCGGGTAGCTGTATTGTATGTCTAGGGGTGAGGGGAACTGCTGCCTCTGCTCTTTGTTCAGACTCTTAGCTCAGGCAGCAGCAGGCGTGGGCGTCCCCAGGGGAGGCACTGACAGCTTCAGTTCTCACAGGGACCTTGCAGGTGACAGCTGGGGAGGTGCAGGCCAACCCTATCATGCCCCAGCTGATGGGCCTCCCTGTTGGATGTGGCTCCACCTTGAAGCAGCCCAGGCCACAGCTGAGTGTACTTCTAGGCGCAAAATGTAGCCTCCAGGGCTTCCCTGGTGGCGCAGTGGTTGAGAGTCCGCCTGCCGATGGCGGGGGACGCGGGTTCGTGCCCCGGTCCGGGAGGATCCTACATGCCGCAGAGCGGCTGGGCCCGTGAGCCATGGCCGCTGAGCCTGCGCGTCCGGAGCCTGTGCTCCGCGGCGGGAGAAGCCGCAGCGGTGAGAGGCCCACGTACCGCAAAAAAAAAAAAAAAAAAAAAAATGTAGCCTCCAGCGGGCTCTTTGCCGGTAAGGGGTAAGGTGATGGGGACTTGGTCACCGAGTTACCAAATTAATTCTAACGGGTCCCTGCTCCTCTCCAGGTCTGTTTTTTCATTGGCAAAGGGACAAGCTGGGCTCCGTAATCTTTAGGGGCCTTTTGCCCCTTGTTATGACTACTCCAGGACTAAGTCAGTTCCGGAGTCTCCCTAGAACCGTTACAGACAAGAAAACTCAGGCTCAGAGGAGCAAGGAACCTAAATCCACCCATCCCTTCCGTGGGGGGATTTTGAGAACAGAGGGTCAAAGTAAGCAAGTGCAGTAGAAAAATTCTTTATTGAAAAGGGAAGGGTGGCTGCCTTGCTGGTGCCTCCTGGGACCTGGCTAAAGGCGGGTTGCCACCGCTCAGCTCTTCAGGCAAGTCTCTGCACACCTTCCCCTTAATAACCTTAAAGGGGAAGTGCTGTGGTAAATCACAATCAATTCACAAGAACAGCGCTTCCAGGCCCTTGCCTTTAAGAACTTCTTAAAGGCAAAGTGCACAAGTGTAGCAGATCAGAGCCAGGACGCTTTAGGAAAGTCTCAAAGAAGCGGCTCCGTGTCTTTACCTTTAAGGATCTCTTAAAGTTGAGGCATATTCGCGCTGAGTACAAAGGTGGAAAACTGTAAAGGAGTTTACAAAGCACTTTTCCAGTTCTTGCTTTTAGCATCTCTTTACGGGAGAGGTGGTCAAGCGTGAATTAACAAAACAAAATACCTCGCAGAACTACTTTCCTCCCCGCCCGCCGGAAGCCGCCCCGCCCAACAGCCGCTGCACGACCCCCGCGGGTCAGCGTCCTCGCCTTCCAGGAGCCCCGAGGCCGGGAGGTAACCGGAGAGCGCGCGGAGCGGGTGGGGCGACGCCTGCCGGGGTCCGGGGGCGGGGGGCCCGGCTCCCGTAGTCACACCGGGGCGTCCCGGGAGTTTCTGGTTTCCTAGACTGTCTTCACAGAGGAAGCCGGACGGGGGCGGGGCGGGGCGAGGGGGCGAGCGGAGGGCGCGGTGACCATGGCGACCGCGGTGACCATGGCGACCGCGGTGACCATAGCGACCGCGGCTCAGAGAACGGAGAGGTCGTGACACGACCTGGAGCGCTGCTTGAAGAACTTGGTGTTGCGCGGCACCAGGTTGGCAAGGAAGCGCTTGGCCTTCTTGGTGAGGCTCTCGCGGCGCGTGGGCGGCGCGGGGCCCTCGGGCCTGCCCCACTCGGGCTGCGGGCCCCCAGCGCGGTTCGGGCCCCGCCGCAGCCGGATCTGGCGCACCGCTCCCTCGAAGAGCTCCCGCGTGTTGTGGTGCAGCGCGGCCGACGTCTCGATGTGCTTGCAGCTCAGTGTCCCTGCCAGATGGCGGCCCTCTGCAGGAAGGGACGTGTTCAGGCGCCCGCCCGCCCACCCACGGGGCTGCGCTGGGCCCGGGGCCGGGCGAGGCTGGGCCTGGGGGGCCCAGGGCGTGCAGTGGAAAGGGATTGGGGCAAATGGATCTCTTGCAACTGATAGAACAAGCAGGGATTAAGTGGAGGGCGGTGGTGGTGTGGAGGGGGAGGGAGAAAGGGGCCTTGAGAAGAGGTGAGGGGGAGGAGAAGGGAGTCTGGGGTCCTAGGCGTGGGCATTGAGAGTCTGCCCCTAGCCTGGGGCTAACTGCAATTTTGTGCACCCAGGAGGTTAAAAGGCCTTATGGAGAAGAGGTGTCCTGGAAGGGAGAGGGTTCCCTGAGATTGCAAACATGGATGAGGTTCAGGGTACTCACCCTCCAGTGAGACCTCCCGGGAGCGGGCCAGGTCACTCTTGTTTCCAACGAGGATGACAGGCAGATCATGTTGGGGCCTCCCAGCCCTGAGCCGTAGTAGGGTCTCTGGAACTTTGGAGAAGCTTTGTCGATCGGTGACCGAGAAGACGATGAGAAAGGCATCCCCCGTCTGAAGGCAGTGGTCCTGCAGCCACCCCCCTGCATCCCCCTGCAGATGGGCAGAGAGTCGTGGAATGTCAGGGCTGGAGGCATGGGAGAACCTGCCCAGCACCTTACACCTCAAGGATGAGGAGCCAGGATGTGAGGGAGAAGCCACCTGCTTAGGACACAGAGCTAGTTAATGGCAGAATCTCCATACTCGGGGTGCGTTTGTGGAGGAGGGAGAAGTTTGTAATGTGAGCTCCACATGGGCGAATGGGGGACATAGGATCCTAGACAGCCCATCCTACTTTCTTATGCTTAAGCTCTTAAAAAATGAATGCTATTCAAGTGTGTGTAATCTGGCCTCTCGTTTCTGCATAGTAATCATTTATGTCCAAATATTCACAAGTCCTCACTTTTTTCCCCTTCCCTGACATTACAGAGCCCTGAGCTTCTGTCCTCTCAGATCAGGATCTTCTAGGCTGAAAAATGTACAGAGGGGGTCAGTTTCAGGGTGTTCAGCCTGGCTTGCAGTTGCAGGGTTTGTCGAATCCAGATCCTAACTTTCCTCTGGGTCAGAAGATCCTGGAAACCAGACAGCAGCTCTCAATACCATGGTGTGTGCATAGGTGTGAGCCTTTGCTCTCTGAGACAATATATATGAAAGGTCAGGTTCCACTACATGTTAAAACCAGGGGCTGTAGTCCCACCAGCCTTCAGCCTTCAGCCATACTTTGCCCCTCCTCAGCTCTCCCAGGTTTCATCACCTGCTTGCAGCCACATCTTAGTTCTCACCTGTTCCCAGATGTCATAAACAACTAGAGTCACTTCCTCCTTATCCACCATGATGCGTCTCTCATAGGTGTCCTCTGTTGGGAAATAGGGACAGGGAATAGAGCCCATTAGGAGGCTCCCCAACACCTGTTAGACCTGGTAACCAGGGATGCTTTAGATCCCAGCCCTTTAGATCCCTCCCTCCAGGGAGGTTGCCACAGAAAGCATTGAAACAGTTTCTCTTAGGTTCTGGCCTCCAGGACTGTTCATGCCTTGAGCTCTTCCATCCCTGACTAGGGCTCCAGAGGCACCCTCAATTCTTGCAGGGCTCCCCCAAATACCTGGGTTCTCCAGCTCGTGAGCACTGTCTCCCTGGAGACCACCGAAAGTGCCTGCTAGGGTGCTCTTGCCCACGCCGCTCTCCCCCACCAGCATGACCTTGAATATGCCATCCTTTTGGGTGGGGGCTGCCTCCCCTGAGCCCAGGGAGTCAGAGGAGCCAGAGGATGAGGCTTGAGGTGGCCAGTCAAGTTCATCTACAGCCTGGGCCCGCCGCAGCTGGTGCTTGTAGGGGACAGGCATACTTCCTCTTCGTCTGGGGGCCCCCGGGGCAGGGGGTGGCCCGCCCCAGTCCAACCCTGCCAACAGTTTCTCTGGCTTCTTCAGCAGTGTAGCATCTGCTTCTCGGGGGGCAAAGAGAAGGAAGCTATGAGTGGGGTATGCCTAGACACCTGCAGAGGACTCAGTCCTGGCTGCTCCAGCCTCAGAGGCCCAGTCCATGACCGTGACCCAGAAGGAGCTGAGAATCTTTGGTCTGACCTTCTTCCACTGAACTCCACCAGAAGCCTGAACTGGTGGGGCTCCCAGGGGCTGACCTGAAGGCTTGCCCAGTGTGGTTCTAGCCACAACCCATTCAAAACATGCCCCATGCAGGGGAGGCACCTGTGTGCAGGCTTGCACACCCACTCACACTTCACACTGACACACAGGCACACCCCCAGACTAGGCCTCTGGCCGGGGGCTGCCCCTCCTTCCACCGGGAGGCCCTGCCCCCTCCTGCTTCCTACACTGATGATCCCCACACAGGGGATGAACTGAAGCTGCTGCCCAGGTTCTGGGGTTGGGTACTGATAGAGTCAAAAACTTTGTGGGGAGTCTGTTCCCAGGGAAGGGCCTTTGCTCACTGAGATGTATGTGTTGGGTCTCTATGGGTGTGTTAAAGGGGCTGCCTCTTCCCATGGCCCTGTAGGTAAGCATCCCCCAATGCATGTCTGTGTGTGAGAATCCTTCTGCACCCCTGGCTGTCCCTGTGAGTCTGACAGAATATTGTGTTCGTCGTGAGGCTGAGGGAGGGAGAGAGAAAGGGAGGGAGGAGGAGAAATAGCGAGAGAGCAGGAGCAGGGAGAGTGACAATGCACGGGCCAGGGTAACTGGAGGAGGAACCACAGACATAACAAAGGGGGATAGAGAGAGGCTGGAAATAGCCCAGGATCAATACTTGACTGGCAGCCAGGGCCTCCAGGAGCCAGAGAAACCCTCAAAACGGTTCCCCAGGGTAGCCCCCTGCCCGTGATTCCCAGGCTTGTGGGCTGCCCCTCGTCTTTCCCCCTTCCCTCCTGCCCGTCCCAACCTCTTGGGAATGAGGCAGACCTAGGGGCTAAGTACCAGTTTCCCCAGGGAAGCCCTGGGTGATGGGTGAGGGGACATTTAGGCAGCCCACCTCTGTCCCCTAGCCCCACACCTCATACGAGACCCAGTCCTAGTGTGGGCAGGAGGCTTCCCCACTTCCTGAGTTGCTCTTCCCCTCTTGCTGTTTGCGTTCGAGCTCCTTAAACCCCTAGTTCTGACCTCCCCACCAAAGCTTCAGCTCCCACCCCCATGGTTGCAGCCAGCACCTGCCAGCTCAGCCCTCACCTGGTGTGGGCGTCCCTGGCGGGGAGGCCCGGTGGCTGCTGGCGGGGCAGAGTGCTGTGGTTTCTGTGTCCGTGTCCATGTCGGTGTCGAGGTCCGTGTGCATCGGTGTGCGTGTGCGTGTGCAGCCTGGCGGCTTGCAGCACCCGCTCCCTCACTCAGCAGCACTGTCAGCTTTTCCCTTTAAATACCACCCCCCCATGCCCTCCCCCTAGACACCTGGGGAAACAGTCCCACCCCCTGATGAGGTCACATATGCTAATGAGCCGTGATGTCAGCGGGATTCCCTCCTTTCTGCCTCCCCCCCCCGCCCCCTTTGCGTCGCTTCCCTCTGGGAGCACACACACTGCGGAGTCTGGTTAAGACATGAACAGAACAAAGTCAGAGGGGCAGAAGAGACGGGTTCAGAGAAGTGGGGTGAGGGGTCAGTGGGCAAGGGAGCTGAGGATGGGAGGAGGCAAGGACCCAGGGCCTGGGTGGTCTTTCTCCAGGAGCCAGGACTATGTGTGATTTGTCTCCGTATCCCAGCCCCTTAGCCCAGTGTTCAGCCCAGAGTGGGAGCTCAGTAGCTAAATGGAGGGGCTAAAGGAAGAAACCAAAAAAGACGCAGGGACAGGAGGACAGCCACCCCGCCACCAAGCTTCTCTGCCACCCCCTCTTCCCCATATTACCCCTTCTGGGCTAAGGCCCACAGCAGTACCCATTTCCCGGCCTGGCCCCTAGGCAGATGGGGGCTTTGAGGAAGGAGACATGGCTGCTTTGTTTGGCAGCTTCATTTTTTCACTAGGTTCAGGTGGGTACAAACCATTGTGGGGACTTCTTCCCCATCTCTCCCTCCCTGCCTGGCCCACCAACCTCGTATTAATCAGAGCAGGAAAAAAGGGAGAGACAGCTAGCCCTCTAGAAGTTCCCAATCCCCAGTGCAGGTGCCAGCCCCCTTCTCAGTGCTCTCTGGGGCAGCCCCAGGCCTTCTGGGCTACACAGGGCAGACACACAATGACACCTACCTCTGGGGCAGGAGGGAAGCCAGGATAGCGGGGCTCCTTTACTGCTCCTTTTCTGCCCGGTCCCTTTCCCTTCAGGCTCCCACTCTTGTCTTCCCGGTGCCCCCAAGGACCCAAACACACATTCCGATTTCCTGGCCCCTTCTCTCCCCATTTTTGCCAGATGCTGTGCTAAGCACCTTCCTGCATTCTCTCCTTTCATCCTCATGACCCTGAGGCTCAGAGTGGTGGGTGAGTGGCCTGTGCCCCAAATCAATCATGCAGCTGGAAAATGGGGACACCAGGATTCCCACCCAGATCTTTCCAATGCCAAAGACTGTTTTTCGTCTCTATGCTATGCTGCCTTCCTTGTCTTAAATATTCCAGCTGTCTCCTATTATTGGGGACAATCTATATTGCGATCTTCAGTGGACTTTTCCAATTGAAGAAGCAAATAGTGATCTAGGGATTACTAGTGCAGTGACGCTTCACTTATGTGGAGGTCAACTACAGGGTAACGTTGTGGGGTCTAGAGGGAGCAGAAAGAACTCTTAAGCAGCTAGTCTTCATGTGCTTCACTCACTGGACAGACTCTACAGTCCTCAGTTACAGCCTACTTGTTCTTACTTTATTCACAATTTTTTTTTTTTTTTTTTTTTTTTTTTGTGGTACGTGGGCCTCTCACTGTTGTGGCCTCTCCCGTTGCGGAGCACAGGCTCCGGACGCGCAGGCTCAGCGGCCATGGCTCACGGGCCCAGCCGCTCCGCGGCATGTGGGATCTTCCCGGACCGGGGCACGAACCCTTGTCCCCTGCATCGGCAGGCGGACTCTCAACCACTGCGCCACCAGGGAAGCCCTATTCACAATTTTAATGTGTCCATGTGTGTTCCTGTGCTCAAAGATTAGAAGCACATTTACAGCAGCTAGTGACCCTGATAGCTTGGTAGCAAGGGAAGCAATATCACAGAAAACTTTTAAAGCAGTTGTAAGCATTTAAAAAGTGGTCCAAGGTCACCTGGCATTAAGGCAAATTGCTTTTCTGACACTGTTACAGCTTCTGAAAACATTGCTGCCGAGGTTTTTGGTGTCTATGAATGATCCTCAGCTATCCAGAAGGATTTATAGTGCGGATGGGCTGAGGATGAGTGTAATGTTTTAGAGTGATTTCCTTCCAGAATGAGTTTTTTAAAAGTTTTAAATTGTAAAGGGTTGAGCTTTATGTTTCTGGAAAACTCATTTAGGTGGTAGAATTCATTTCTATGATACTAGATAAGAGTGTCAGTGGCTGGAGACCCCAGCGAAGATTCTTGACCATGACTTCTGCCTGCCCTCAATCCAGCCTTAGGCCATAGATGCATGCTTGGTTTCATCTTGAACCACCATCTCTCTTGTCCCACTGGTAAGAGGCTGTGCACTTGCCCAGGTCAAGGCTCCCTCAGGAATTGGAGGTCCTGTGTAATAGTGGGACAGACTGAGATTTGGAACCGAGCTGATCCAGATTTAAGTCTGCCTCTCAGTAGAGACTGGAGCAGTATTCCTCTGAAGCTGCTCATGAGCCTGTGAATTGGGGCTGTGATGCCCACGGCACAGCCTTGTTGTGAGGGTTAGCTACGTGTGATAAAGGGTTTGGCACTCAGCAGGTTGCCCAACAATTTGGTGCTCCCACAGTCTCAGGCTGTGTGGCTGGGGGTCCCTTTCCCCTCCCAGCGTGGCCTGGAGCTTGGTTCAGGCCCAGATTCTGCTCCTTAAGGACCGAATTCTGGTATCTGCTCAGATTTATCTCAGATTTTCAGCCTGATCCCCATCTCATAACTGAGATCACCTCCCTCCTCCCCACCAAGGGCCTTTGCATGAGTCCCACACCCCCGATACTGGGCACCTTGGACAGTGGTGTCTATCCTGATAGGATCTGAAGTCGCCTCATTTCTTTTTCCTTGGGCCGTGGTGAAAATAACTTGGGTGACAGCCCCCTAGTGCCCCACCCTTGCCTGGGTAAGACCCTCTATCTTAGTTTCCCCATTCTGCCTGTACAAGGTCAGTCCCCTCTCCCCGCCACCTGGGGCTTCACTGTGGCTGACAAAAACGGTGTTACTGCTTGCACCTCGTAGATCACACACCCAGCACGTAGAGGAATCTTCTTTCAGGCCCATAAATCTACATGCACAGGGCTTCCTAGTGAACTCTACCTTCAAGTCCTCCCTCCAGCATTCTGAAGCGTTCCACCATGAGGAACATTCTTCTACCTTAAATCTCTGTCCACTTTCAAGTTTCAAATACCCCTAGGAGGTGAAAGGTCTGGAGCAGGACAACGATGAGGATATCAGGCTGAAGGTTTTGAGCTGGCTATGGAGAAGAAGAGGAGCAGGGAGAGGCAGAGGCCAGGTGATGGAGAGGCATGGGAGGGGAAATCAACATTCCCTGCCTCACTGTTTCCACTGGGCCTAACGCTGGTGGGACCCAGTGATTGTTTACACTGGGGAAGGCAGGCCCAGAGGGAGAACAGCAAGCAAGGATGAGAATCTCTGGAGCCCCTTCCCCAATCTCTGGAGAGGGCGTGGAGTGAAAGGTGCTTGAGTCTTCCCCAAGCCAAGATGCCAGTGTCCCAGGACTGTACTATGTCCCCTCGGCCACTTCCCTAGGCTCCTGCTTGCTGGGAGAGGGAACGGTATGCAATTAGTGCTGGGTGTGAGGATGCTGGCAGTGTGTCATCAACAGGGCCCCTCCACCAGGGAGGTGGGGATAGGCTGGGCCAGGCAGGAAGGGTAAGGGAGCCTAAGGGGGAGCCCTTTCTCCGGGGACTGATTGTTAGGGAATGCCTCAGCTCTGCTCCTGTGGGCATCACACCCACTCCCACAGGCTCTTTCTAAATCCTTTGTCCTGGCTGATTTTCCTTTTAAACTCTGGGACCGCTCTGTCAGCTTGCTTACCACAGGCTGGGTCCCAACATTTCTCACAGATCATTCCCCCCTCCTCCGTTACCCTCTCCAGCTCTACGGCTCTGGCTATTGCTTGTGTTCCTGCGCCCCTTTCTCAGGAAGTCCAGGGTCCCTCTTACAGCCCTAGCCCTTACTGTCCCCTTAGTTTGCTTATCGTATGGACTCTCACCTTGCCTAAAATTCACAATTCTATACCAACTACTGACAGCATTCTTTAGGATCTAGTTTGGGCCCTCTTCCAGGAAGACCTCTTGGATCTGGCCAAGGTGATGCTAGCATCTTCACACCCTGAATGATTATGATTTTTCTCTGGACGCATCTTTTCCCGCTTTGAGGCATCCTGGCTGCGAGTTCATCTGTCTTGCCTAGGACAGACTGAAAATGCCTGGTAGGGTGGAGGATGGAGGGCAGGAGTGTTTCACCAGGGACAGTCTGCTTCTGTGATTAGTGCTCTGCGAGTACTCCATAAATGGGAAGTTTCTCAGCTGCAGGGCCCAGCGGGCTCATGACTTCCGGCCTGGCGGTGAGTAAGGAGGCTAGGTGCTCACTGCTGGTGTCAGTCACTGTAGAGCTGGGCCCCAGGCAGCGAGTGGAGGTGGAGAGGGTTAGTCTTAGGGTTCCTAGAATTTTCTTACCCTCTGAGTGGTATAAAAAACAAGGATGGGTGGTTGGAAGATAAATAGGAAAAGGCCAGGAGGTGGAGGGCAGAGCAAAGGGCTTCATAGGGAGGAGTAAGGTGAGGGGAGCATAAGCTGAGATGGGCAGAGAGGCGGGGCTCATGCTCACAGCTCATTTACAAAAATCTTAAATTTCTGATTCCTTTATTTTCAACCTTGGCTTCCTGGACAATGACCTGGCTATGGAACAAAAGCATTTGCTGTGCTCTTTTTATGAGCTAGGCCTTGTGGGAGGGATCACCATTGGCAAAACCCCAGGGCCTGCCCAAATCCTCCCCTTGGGGGCTGGAAGTCTCCAGCCAATTGGCATTCTGGTGCTTAAGGCCACTTTTGGGTGGGTTTGGCAAGGATGGAGTGTCCAGGCCTATGACCCTTTAAGAACTTTACTTTTTAAAAACAGCCACCCAAATGGTGGTGGTGTGGGGAGAGGGTAGTGGAGGACTGTGGTCTCTGGCCATGCGCAGAGAGGGGGCTCTGTGTGAGCCCTCTCCCTGCCTGAGGGACACCTAACTTTATAGCAGCTACATGGGATCCATGGGAGGCCCATCAGGTGCCCTCACACTGAGGGACAGGGAGGGAAGCAGTGGAAGGGAAGCTGAGCTGCCCTCTACAGGGTTGCTGTCACTGTGAATAGAGCACCCAGGGGAGCCAGGTCACCTCACGCCAGCAGTGGCTCATCTTCTGCTTCGACCACCCAGACCCCGGGCTCAGCCAGTGGCACCAGCAGCACATCGTCCTCATCCTCTGGGGACAGGACTGTTGTGTGGGGTCCAGGTGGGGCCCGGGTTGGTCCTGGGGGCCGCAGGCTGGGCAGGAGGCGGCCTCGCAGGGCCTGTACCACTCCAGACAGCAGTGATGGCTCCAGGGGCGCCGCAGGCAGTGGCCCTGGGGCCTCGGGGACAGTGGGGAAGGCTGGAGACGTGCTGGCAGGTGGCAGTGGAGCCTTTACAGGCAGTGGGGGTGCCTGTTCCCCATCCTGCCCACCCACCGCCCCGCCCTCACGGGCTGGACCTGTGCTGCCGTCTAAGGTCTCAGGGGGAGCAGCAGAAGGTGTGACCTGGGATCTGGTCTCAGAGGTCCGGGCTGGGGGACTGGTTCGCGGAAGCAGGCCCCAGCGGCGGAGACGGCGCACCAGGCGGCGCATAGAGCGGCCCCGCTGGCGGCGGCGGGTGCCTGAGGCGCCCCCTGGAGTCATGTCCTGGCGCAAGATCTGTAGCAGAGAACGCAGGTTGCCCAGCACGGAGTTCTGCAAGGAGAGGATGAAGACACCAGAGTCAGAGGGGGTGGGGACGGCCAGAAGCCTGAAAGAAGGAAGGGCTGGGAGTGGGAGGTGGTCCGGCTGCGGAGGGTGACTTACGTCATTTGGGTTCTCTGTAGGGAAGTCCTCTACAGGTGGGATGGCGCCCTGGGCAATGAGCTGCCCATAGGAGGGAGGCGCCTGCTGTTGCACAATCTCGGCCTCTGTCCGGGAGAGGGGGGCGAAGATGCTGGAAGGGACGAGGACGGCTCGGTCACGGGTGCTGCTCACCAGAGCCGCCTGCCCCAGCCTGGACAGGCCTCTTTCTTCTGCACCCAAGCCAGGGCACCCGGAGCTAGGCCACGGCTTTCCAAAGTCATCTGACATCCCCCTCCTTCCTTGAGATGGCTTTCAAGATCTAGACCGGTCCCCCTCTCAGAGAAGCACGCCTGCCAAGCTAGACAACCCTAGGAGCCAACCCAGAAGCTGGTCACCAGAACCCGTCCCCAACGTGGGCGCCCTCTGGACTTCTGTGGCTGCACAGGCCCTGTCCCGCCCTCAGTCCCCACGCCTCTACCGCCAGCTGCATTCCCACTGACCTGTACTCCTGGGTACGAATGGCATAGAGCTTGCAGGTGCAGCCCAGGGCAATGACCAGCAGCAAGCCACACACGAGGCTGCCGATGACCGCGGCGGTAATGACCTTGCGGGGCAGGGCATAGGAGCAGTCCCACTCGTCGCTGCCGTCAGCGCAGTCTGGCTGCCCGTCGCACACCCACGTCTCATACACGCACTTCTCGTCCCGGCACCGGAAGTTGCCAGGCTGGCAGTGCCGACAGCGTCTCTCGTCTGCTCCATCAGCACAGAAGGTCTGGTAGTTGCAGCGGTCAGCAGGCAGGTAGCAGGCTGTGGCACCGGGGGTGCCAGCGGCCCCACAGGGGTAGTGTCCAGGTGGGCAGCTGGGGCAGTTCTCCTCGTCCGTGCCGTCGGCGCAGTCCCATGAGCCGTCGCAGCGCTGTGCCTCGCTGTAGCAGCGCTCGCCTAGGCCCTCGCTAGCCCCCAAGCCAGAGCCTAAGCCGCAGGGTCGGTCCCAAGGCAAGCAGTAGCCCCGCACGTGGTAGGTGGCATTGAAGCCCCGACCGCTGCTCCAGGCGACTGTGTGGTAGTCCACTGTGGCCTGGCCGGACAGTGTCTCCACAGTGACAGCCTTGCCATTGCTGAAGTGGGTGAGGCTGCGCAGCAGCCGGAGGGTCTCGGGGGGCCCAGCGCCATCATACACGTGCACTGCATCTCCATAGCTCAGGTCCAGGGCCGTAAAGCGCACCGCCAGGCGCCGGCCATCATGGGGGTCCAACAGCCAGAGGCAGGACTGGGGGTGGGAGACTGAGGCCAGGTGTGAGTATCCGAGGGAGGAGAAGACCCCATAGAAGTCTTCCAAGGTGTGATTGCAGGGTGGGGTGGGGACAGGGCCCGGGGTCAGGTTGGGGAAGGGGTCTGAACTGCAACCTGCCTCGTCAGATCCATCGCCACAGGCATCGACCCCGTCACAGCGCTGGACCAAGGGCACACAGCGGTGGTTCAGGCACTGGAACTCTTCCTGCAGGCACATCAGCCAATCTGCAGAGGCACCATGGAGAGGGGCTGTGAGGCACTGGAGCTGCCAGGATCCTCCCCTCCTCCCTCAGGCTTCCACTGCCTGTTCTAGTGGCACTACACTAGACACTACTAGGCACTACTACAGACAGCCCTGTCCAGCCCACCTTGGCTGTAGGAGAGCAGGAAGCCCTGGCCCATGGGTGCTCTGGCCCCAGCATAGCTGTAGGTGATGGTGACGTTGCCTCCAGGAAGCTGCAGAGGGCTGGCAGGTGCCTCGCACAGGGAGATCTGTGGCTGGATGGGGGAGCGCAGGATTAAGCGCTCTGAGCCACAGGCCAGACGCAGTTTTTGGAACCTACAGGGGTGAAGGAGAGCAGGACGTAAGATATTCTTTTTTTTTTTTTTTTGCGGTACGCGGGCCTCCCACTGCCGTGGCCTCTCCCGCCGCGGAGCACAGGCTCCGGACGCGCAGGCTCAGCGGCCATGGCTTACGGGCCCAGCCGCTCCACGGCATGTGGGATCTTCGCAGACCGGGGCACAAACCCGTGTCCCCCGCATCGGCAGGCGGACTCTCAACCACTGCGCCACCAGGGAAGCCCCCATAAGATATTCTTGACCACTGCTGGCTTCTTCCTCCCCCAGTGTTGTCACGCCTGTTCTACTCCAAGAAGCAGGAACACCTGCTTATCCACAATCCAAATAGCCAAATGAAAATGGAGTTAGCCAAATTCCTTTGTGATCAAGGCAAGAGCCCTAACAGAGGCCTATGGCACCATGAGACCATGAGTACATCCTAGAGCCTTCTGGAAAAACTGCCTTGTGTTCTGGACTGAGTTAGAACAGATTCATTGCTTTCCTGTTGTTGCAGCACTGTCACCTGTGTCTGGTGCTAGCAGTAACCGGCAATTACCATACAGCTTAATTAACCAGAACTCACCATCCCCTCCCAGTGCCCAGTGGTGAGACCTGAGATCACCATGGCATTCTGATCTCTCTGCCCCAACAACCTCTGCCCAGATTGCCCTCTCCCTTCACCTACCCTTTTCTGGGTAAATCCATGGGAAGTGAGCTGTGGGAAGCAAATAGCTAGGTACTCAACATGGGCCCCAACCCCACGGCCCACGGTTGGAGGAGCCCAGGGAGACCTGGACTGTTTAAAAGATCTGGGGAGGGACTTCGCTGGTGATCCAGTGAGTTAGACTCTGCGCTCCCAATGCAGGGGGCGTGGGTTCAATCCCTGGTCGGGGAACTAGATCCCCTATTCCACAACGAAGAAGCCCGCGTGCCGCAACTAAGAGTCTGTGTGCCGCAACTAAAGATCCCTCATGCCCCAACGAAGATCCCACGTGCCGCAACTAAGACCCAGTGCAGCCAAAATAAAATAAATAAATATTTTTTTAAAAAAAAGGTCTGGGGAGGCTGAGGAAGGTTCTAAGCTGATGAAGGAATAGATTTGAATCCCAGGCAAGGATGTGCAATGGATTGAAGGACTCCTCCAAGCAGCCATATCAGAGAGAAAGGACTGTTTCTAGAGGAAAGGACTGTTTCTGTTGTCCTTCAGAGATGACAAGACCCAAGCTAGATGTCCACTCCAGGCAGTTCCAATTCACCATGGAGCAAGCCAGGCTTTTAGGGAAGACTAGGCCAAGTCTAATTCTACTCTTCCCCCTGTTGACAGGGATGGAAGTTCCATGGAGAAGATCCCTGAAGTCTTTTCCATGGTAGAGGAGGAGGGGTGGGGGAAAGGAATAGGGTCTTGCTCTGCTTCTCACCTGACCGTTACCGTCTGCTCCTTGCTGCCCAGGATGAGCCAGGTACAGTTGGCAGGGGAGCTGCGGCTGTCCCGGCCCACGGGCCTCTGTAAGGTGCCCTGCACTTCCAAGAGCACTGCCGGGGGGTCCTCACAGGCTGGAGAGAGAGAGGAAGGTAGGGACATCGGTTGAGAGCCTCTTACCATGCCACGCCTCCTCCAAGGGCCTGGGTTCTTCAAGAAGGAGCACAGAAACTCCCCTGCCCCAGCGACACACACTCTAGAGGCATAGTCTTCAGCAGGCCCCTGTCTCTCCACACTCATCATAGTTCCACCTTAACTATCAACACCACAAACAATATGAGGTCTGCTTTGTGCCAGCCACTGGGCCAGGAGGAACCGGGAAATACTGTTTCTATCCTCAGGAAGACTACATTTTGGCTAGGCCGATCAAGGATGGATATTTGGGGAAAAAATACATAACTACCAGCTGAGGGCTTATGCTAGGTCTCAGTTTCTCCATCTGTAAAATAAAGGGTGGATGAGCTCCACTCTAAAACTATGGTAGGTACTAGAGGAATTCAAGGAAGAGAGAGTTTTTCTCTTGGGTCCTGCCTCATTACCAAGCCCATGGGACCCCAGGGGCATCCTCTACTCACCAGGATTTGGGAAAATGATCCTGTCTGGGTGGGCCACAGCGTCTCCTAGAGGAAGAGCGAGAAAGGGCAAGAGTCACGCTCCGGAGTTTTCTTCACCTGAGCGAGTCACGTAGGAAAGGGAGCCATCTGCGGCTTCCGGGTAGTTTACAGGAAGGGGTGGTGGAGCAAAGGAAGGCAGCGGTGTGTGACCTCGGAGGAAGGTCCGGCAGCACGGCCTATGGAGTGGGTACGGTGATCTACGGAAGCCAGAGAGAGGCTGCGGGCTGAGGAGAGCGGCTAGAGAGTTCGCGGGGATTGGGGCAGGCAGTGCCGGGCACGGGCAGGCAGGGTAAGGTGAGGGGCCACGTAGGAGGAAGGGAGCTAGAGCCCCTGGGCCCGGTGACAGCCCTGGGAGCGGGTTGCCGGGCGAGTAGTCTCGTTTTCGGTTTCTTACCCAGGAGGAGGAGAAGGATGGCCGGCAGCATCGTGAGCCGTCCGCAGGTGCAAGAAAAGTCCCGGAGCTTCGGTGGTCTACCCAGTGGGGAGGCGGCGCCGCTCCGGGCGTCCTGGCCTCCCAGTGTCGCCTCCCTGAGGGGCCTCCATGGCCCGGGCTCCTCGACCGGTGCTCTGGAGGCCAGGGCTGGGGGCGGGTGGGGGGCGGAGGCGGCCCGAGCGCAGGGGCGGTGCCTCTCGCCAACTTCGGAGTTGTTTTCCCCGGCTGCCGCCTCGCTCTCTCCCGAGGCCGGCCCCCGAACCCCCGGAAATCGGCTGAAAGACCGGCGCTGGGGCGCGCCCTCGCCTAGAGCCGGTCCGCAGGCCGCAAGCGCCCCGGTCCAGGCCTGGCCGCCACCTGCTGGGGCTTGAGGCCACTTCCTCTTTGGGCCAAACTTTACCGACTGTCAGCCCCCAGGGCCGGCCCGGGCGCTGCTCAACTTCTCCAGCGCGTCCAGCCCGCGGAACGCGGCAGGGGAGCGGGGAAGGAGGACAGGCGGCTCGGCACAACGCCCAATCCCTCGCTCAGTCTGTACCCCCGCCAGCCCAGGGGTTGGAGGAGCCCGGGCGGAGGAGGGGGCGGGTGACGAGCCTGGCCCCACCCCTGCCAATCAACGCACTCTCCGCCCACCCGACCGTCTTAACGCCTTTCCGGTCGTGCAGGGTCTTGTCACTTGGGCTTTGAAGGCGCTCAGCTTCCACTTTTAACTCTGCTTTGTTTAGTCCTTTCCGTGTAACGTTAGTTACAGGACACGTCTGTCAAAGGGCAACTGCTTATTCCGTAACTGTCATGTCTTTCCTTTGAATCCTTAAGCTCTCAGTACTTTTCTTGTCCCAGTGTCTGGGATGCGGTAGCACTTTTCTCGATGAGCCTCTATTATAGCAATTACCACACGGTGTTGTAACTATTTGTTTACTCTTTCCCGCCCCTGCCCCTCCCCTGCTGTGGAAACTGAAACTTCCTGTAGGCTGGGGCCTAGACTGTTTACCTTTGTACCCACAAGGCTTCTCTCCTGCTGAGACACTGTAATTCAATAAAGGAATAAATGTGCCTTCCCTTCTTGCTGGCCTTGTGACGTTGAGAAAATTGTTTAACCTCTCTGTGCTTCTCAATTGTAAAATGGGGTTAATAATGTACAATTCCCTCTTAAGGTTATTGTCAACATTTAGGGAGATAATACAAGTTGAGCATCTAGGGAGTGTTTCATACATGCTAGCAATTATTATTATTAGTCACAAGAGATATTTCTAATTTATGTGGGCTTGGGTTGCATGTTTCTTGTGGCACTTATAGGTTATAATAGTAAACAATAACAATAGCAAATAGTTTTTGAGCTTTTTTTCACATTTCAGGCACAGATCTAAGCACTTTTCAAGTGTTTGCTCTTTTAATCCTCTCCACAATCTTGTGAAGTGGTTATTACTGTTACTCCCATGTTACAGGTAAGGAAACTCTGGTACAGAGGGGTTTAGTATTGCCCAAGATCATGGATCTGGTAAATGCTGAAACAAGGGTTTGAAACTAAGCGATCTGGCTTTGGACAGAGTGTACATTCAGAACCTTACTACTCTCGCCTCTTTACAAATGGTACAAACAGTTTTCCGTTCATGACATTTGTTGTTGACATCAGTTTTGATGTGTTCAAAACTGAGACCTCAGCAGGGCCTGAAGCCATAGACTTGGCCATAAAAAGTCCTTCTGCCACTTGGATCTTGGTCCCATGCCAAGGGAACTTGGTTCCTTGGTCTCTCTCTGTACCCTACTATAGCCCTTGGGATTAATGAGGGGTGAAATAGAACCCTAAATGTGGGAGGAGGATGTTGAATAAAGGGAAGCAGGGCAGAGAGGTTGGGGAAATTAAAAATACTTAAGTCCTGAAAGCGATCATGGAAGTTTTAGTTGAGTGCAGGCTGTGTTCTCTATGCTGGGTACTTAGCAGATGCCTGGAACTTGTAAGAGTTCACTTTAACTTCAAGGAGCTTACAGAATAGTTGGGAAGAGAGGTCAGATATATAAATTTAAAAAGTCAGCCATGGGGAGTACTTGGGAGTGGGCTTGTGAGGAGTTTAGAAATGAATTTAGAAATAAAACTGGAAAAGTGGTGGCGAGACGGGAAGAGTTGTAAGGGGCAGGAGGAGGAGGAAGAGCCCATGGTCTGGAATGCTGAATAAACTAAGATTTGAAAAAAAAAAAAATCAAGATCTAGGTTGGGGACTTCCCTGGTGGTGCAGTGGTTAAGAATCCATCTCCCAATGCGGGGGACACGCGTTCGAGCCCTGGTCCGGGAAGATCCCACATGCTGCGGAGCAACTAAGCCCATGTGCCACAACTACTGAGCCCACGTGCCACAACTACTGAAGCCCATGAGCCTAGAGCCCGTGCTGTGCAACAAGAGAAGCCACCGCAATGAGAAGCCCATGCACTGCAACAAAGAGTAGCTCCCGCTCGCCTCAACTAGAGAAAGCCCACGCACAGCAATGAAGACCCAACGCAGGCAAATAAAAGAGTGAATTTGAGCCAAAAGAAAATAGGAAGAAGTGAAAGAGAACCTATAATTAGTTTAAGCTTTAATTCGTTTAGTGATTTTAAGTGTCCAAGCCCATATATATCACACTGTAGACCAAGTCCATTTAGAAATGGGTCTGTGGAGATGTTCTTGGAACTCTGAGAAATTGTGAAAAGTAGTGGAAGTACTGGAAGATGGGCAGATATTTGGTTTTCAAAATGCCAGTATCTTTTTTTTTTTTAATATTTATTTATTTATTTATTTTTGGCTGCATTGGGTCTCCGTTGCGGCGAGCGGGGGCTACTGTTCTTTGCGGTGCACAGGCTTCTCATTGCGGTGGCTTCTCTTGTGGAGCACGGGCTCTAGGTGCACGGGCTGCAGCAGTTGTGGCGCATGGGCTCAGTAGTTGTGGCTCACGGGCTTCAGAATGCAGGCTCAGTAGTTGTGGTTCACAGGCTTAGTTGCTCCGTGGCACGTGGGATCTTCCCGGACCAAGGCTCGAACCCATGTCCCCTGCATTGGCAGGCGGATTCTTAACCACTGCACCACCAGGGTAGTCCCACCAGTATCTAACTTTGATAGAGTACTCACCATATGTTTGGCACTCTTCTCAGCACTGCACATATATCATCTCATTTAACCCTCACCGCACCTCCAGGAAGTAGGTGTTATTTTTGTCCTCATTTTATAATTGAGGAAACTGAGTCACAGGTTAGATAACTTGCTCAAGATCAAACTACTAGCATGTGCCGCAGCCGAGGTGCTCTGGTCTGAATGTTTGTGTCCCTTCCACCACCCCCAATTCATCTCCTGATTTCCTAACCTCCAAAGATGATAGTATTAGGAAGTGGGCCTTTGGGAGATGCTTCGGTCATGAGGTGGAGCCCTCAGAATGGGACTAGTAAAAAAGGCTCTAGAGAGATCCCTAGCCCTTTCCACCATGTGAGGACATAGAAAACACTGGCTGTGAACCGGGAAGAGGGCCCTCGCCAGAAGGTGACTATGCTGGCACCTTGATCTGGGGCTTCCCAGCCTCCAGAACTGTGAGCAATAAATTTCCCTTGTTTATAAGCTACCCAATTGGTTGTATTTTGTTATAGTGGTCTGAATGGACTAAGATGGAAACTTGGTACTGAGAAGTTGGGGTGCTGTTGTCACAAATACATAAGAAAGTGAAAGCAGCTTTAGAACCGGGTGATGGGCAGAGGCTGGAAGACTGGAGGTGCATGCTAGAGAAAGCCTACATTGCTGTGAATGGACTGTTAAGGGTGGTTCTTATGAGGGCTCAGAAGAAGAGAGCTACAGAGAGAGACTCAATCTCTCAAGAGAATACCTAAGTGAACAGATGTTGGTGGAAATATGGATGGTAAAGGTTATTCTGATGAGGTCTCAGAAGGAGATGAAGAAGACACTGTTGGAAACTGGAGGAAAGGCGATCTTTGTTATAAAGGGGCAAAGAACTTGGTTGAATTGTGTTCATGTCCTAGTGTTCCGTGGAAGGGAGAACTTGTGAGGAATGAAATTGGATATTTGGCTGAGGAAATTTCTAAGCAAAGTGTTGAAGAAGCAGCCTGGTTTCTCTCGGATGCTTGTAGTAAAAGATAAAAATGATTCAAAGGTGGAATTGTTCATCAAAAAGGACACAGAACTTAAAAATTTGGAAAATTCTTATCACTGTCTAACATAATATATTTTACTCACTTATCATGTTTATTCCCTTCACCACACACAAGAATATAAGTTCCATAGGGGCAAGGATCTATTCTTTTACTGGTGAATCCCCAGTGCCAAAGGCAATGTCTGGCATAAAGTAGTCAATAAATAAATATTTGTTGAATGAATGAATGAATGAATCAGTGACTGCCGATCATAGGCATCACGTGGCATCACGTGGATTATGTCTTTTAATCCACTCAACTACCCTTTGAATTATTGGCCCTTTTTTTTTTTATTAGCCCATTTTAAAGATGAGGAAATTGAAGCTCTGGGAGGATACACAGCTTGCTGAAGGGCACCCTACCAATAAGTCATAAAGGCTGGATCCAAATCCAGATTGTGTAACTCCAGAGTCCTTGTCCTAACCACTGTGTGGTACTGCTTCTCTGGGAAGCTACATTTTAAAAGACTGACAAAATGATTTAATCCAGAGGAGGGTGATAGGAATAGTGAGGGGTCTCTAAGCTGCTCCGTATGAAAGCTGTTTATGGAAGAAGAAAGGCTTTTCACCTAAAAAAAAGCTTAACTGTAGTGAGCATTTGTATATATGAAAACTAGATCCAAATATTTGAAGAGCTGTAGCGTGGAACAAGAATTTGTTTATTCTGTACAGTCTGAAGGGCAGAAACTGGAATTAACGGAACAAATAAAGATAGTCCCTGCTCAGGGTAGAGGAGCTGAAGGCACAGTTAGGGTTGATGCAGAGAGATACCAGCCCTGGGCTTTCAGGGCTCCTTGAAAACCCTGTGACTTGTGGATTGTAGGATGGCAGAAAGTCCGGGAAGACAAGAGCAAAGGAGCTTCTCAAAGCAAGCTGTGTTAGATGCTAATACAAGGCCAAAGAAAGTGAAAGCACCCCCTGGGGTGGGAAGAAAGGGGTCACGAGGGCCTTTTAGGGAGAAGTTTCAGTAAATGCCTGGTTGGGATGCAGACATAGAGGTTGGGTTAAAAAGAAATGACTGGGGAAGGAATACAGACAGCTTTTGGAAAACCTTGGCTTGAGAGAAAAGGGGAAAATGAGAAAAATCTTTCAAGACTGCAGCAGAATCCAGGAGAGCTTTTCAAGATGGGGAAACCTGTGTGTTTGAAGGGAATGGGGATTGAAGACTCTACCATATGTTGATGGGAGTAAGTTTCCTTGTGCTTTGGAAAGAATGAGATGCCGGGTCAGGGACACCCCTTGGAGGTTTGAGAACCACCTCAATCATGTCCATTTTGGGGGCCTCGGGTGTATAAAAAATTAAATACTAAGACTGTTTTCAAAATATTTGGTGTATTTTATTTATTATTTATTTATTTATTTAAAAAAATATTTATCTGTTTATTTTGGCTGCACCAGGTCTTAGCTGTGGTATGCAGGCTCATAGTTGCGGTACTGCGACACGCACGCGGGATTCCCTGACCAGGGATCCAACCTGGGCCCCCTGCATTGGGAGTGCAGACCAACCTGGGCCCCCTGCATTGGGAGTGCAGAGTCTTACTCACTGGACCACCAGGGAAGTCCCAATTTGGTGTATTTTTTAAAAATTAATTAATTAACTTATTTATCTTTCTATTTTTGGCTGCGTTGGGTCTTCGTTGCTGCGCACGGGCTTTCTCTAGTTGCGGCAAGTGGGGGGGGCTACTCTTCTCGTTGCGGTGCATGGGCTTCTCACTGCAGTGGCTTCTCTTGTTGCGGAGCACAGGCTCTCTCAGTGCGCAGGTTCAGTAGTTGTGGCGCACAGGCTTAGTTGCTCCACGTCATATGGGATCTTCCTGGACCAGGGTTCGAACCCGTGTCCCCTGCATTGGCAGGAGAGTTCTTAACCACTGCGTCACCAGGGAAGTCCACCAACTTGGTGTATTT